GCCAATGCCATCTGAGTTGTGCTTTGACAGATAAGCAGGAGTCACTAGGCAGAGGGTGGCAAGAGAAACCTCTTAGTGAGCTTGGTCTAGAGCATAGGGTGTGTGGAGGGACATGGCAGGGGAGGGAGGGAGGTCCGGGAGGCCCCATATACAAGTAAAAGAGCCTCCCTGCCCTCGGCCTTCCCAGTGCCCTAGCGCTAAACATTTTATTTCCTGCAGGTAATCTGGGAGTCACAGCTTTCTCTGTCAGTTTACTCTTCAGGTGGGGCGCTCGGTGGGTGGTCTCTGGTGGAACAGCTTTTCAGGTCAGAGAAATCACAATGTTTGATCCTTCCTCGCAGTTACACTTGTGTGTAATGCAGCATATGCCTAGCCCTTTGGTGCCTTTGGTGGGCACTGGGTAGGTGTGGCATCCACTCCTTTTCTTACCTGAGAACACGTCTCTAGCAAAGAGTGACTTTTGGTTTCACGTTATTTTTCTTCAGAAGCTGGGATCTAGAAGGCAGAAGACAAAGAAAAACGGTTCCCTGGGAGTGGGTAATGAGATGGCGGGGCGGGGAAAGACAAATACCGTATGCTTTTTTTCTGTATGTGGATTTTTCTTTGAGACGAGGTCTTACTATGGTGCCCAGGAGCTAAGTAAGGCAGGGTGGCTTCAGACTCACCTGCCACTGTCTCCCAAGTGCTGGGATTAAAGGCGTGTCCATCTAGGTGGTCGGACAGGTGGAAGGGGCAGCTAGAGAAACCTACCTGAAGACCTGGGCTTGCTTGAGGAGGCTCCTAGCCCTGGTGACCTCCTGGCCCAGGATCTTTAAGTCATCCCCTTCAAACAGTGGCAATTTAGGATCCTGGGGAAGAGGAATGACGGTAAAATTCAATACAGTAAACAGACAAGATGAGACCTGACGATCTAAGGCCCCAGAAGATGGTTAGAGCACATCAGATGTACCCTCTCACCAGAGGCAGGGCATCCTTGTGGCCGCAGCTCACCCATCTCTGCCATCCAGGCAGCCGCTCTATACATGAGATAGCTTGAGATTAGATGCCTGAGAGTCAGTGTGTGGGGTGGGGCAGAGGAGGGGAGGGACCAAGTAGTGCCCAAATTTCAGTGAATTTGGCTCTTCCCTGCGTCCGTGAGATGAAAGTGGTATGTGCTGTATCTAAACTGCTGGTCAGACGGTAAAGTACCTTTTGCCCTTTCTCCATTTCTTCTAGTAAAATAGAGCTTCATGGAAATTTTTCCGAAGACAGTAGCCACTAAAACTCCAGAGCCTGGTTCTAAACAGACTCCCAGTGAAACAGAGCTCCGAGACAGAGAGGAAGCTGCCATCAGCCTGGCAGCAGCGTGACACCAGCTGTTCCTACTCTGCAGGCAGAACCCCTCGGATCTGTGTGGTGGAGCCCATCTATAAACCCAGCACTAGGGGGAGGGAAGCAGGAGGATCATGAGTTCAAGGCCTGTCTCAATTACGTAGTGAATTTGAGGCCAGCCTAGGCTATGTGAGACCCTTCTCAAACAACCAAGGCCTGGGACTCTGCAGATGTAGTTCAATGGAAGAACATAGCCAGGCCCTGAGCTCAACTTCCAACAGAGGCAGAAGTTAAAGCCAGGCCTGATGGCACACACCTGTCATCTCTGTACTGGGAAAGTGGAGGCAGGAGACTCGAGAGATCAAGGCTAGCTGGGGCTACGCAGCAAAACACTGTCTCAAAAAAACTATATCAAAACAAAGAAAAGTTAAATATGTGTACCATTTTTTTTCCTGCTAAATGGAAAGGGCCCCTTAGAATTGTTGGCTCCTCAGTTTTGTTGTGTAGTAGCTAACCAGTGACTTCATTACATGGTACTTAGATGAAATGCATGTCCGTGTTTCAGAGAAAGAACACAGGAATCCAAAGGACTAAAGCACAGTGGGTCTGAACCTTGTCACAGGGCTCAGCTTCACCCGCTGACTTTGGACACACACTTCAGCTTCTTGAGCTGTTTGTCTGTGTAGGGATGAGGATGTAAGAGTGGCTGATCCAAAGAGGTCATCGATTCCTTTGCACATTGTAAATGCTCACCAGGCGGAAGTCGGTCGGACCTAACCATAGCATCTCCAGTCTGTTTCCACCTTCAAGGGGAACTGGCCCAGAGGGACAGCCACGGGAGACACGTCCTTCTTGGTCAGCATTGTTTGTTACAAGAGAAGCAGAACTCTCGGGTAGAAGGAAACCAGTACTCGTGGGGGCTCTGAGACTCACACTGATGACTGGTGACCTACCTTTTCCTCGATGAAGCCTCTGGTGAGCAAGCCTTGAATCCCACTGAGGGTATCATCACTAACAGGACAGTGGTAACGTCCCCCGCTGAGGGAAGCCAGTTTCCTCAGGAACTCAACTGCTGCTCTGGAGGAGGAAGAGAGGCTCAGAGACTCACAGGAGAGGCAAGCAGAGTCCCAGGCCCACAGTGGAACTGAAGTCTTGTGGGGCTTAAGGGAAAGCGGCCTGGCAAAAGGGCCTGGGCTTATGACATCCAGATCATTGTTAGCACCATCAAGTATGCTCTCAGCCGGGGGACGCACATCCACCACTAGTGTCTGCTGTGTGATGGGTCTACAGGGACACAAATATGGCCCTAATTGAGTTCATAGTTCAGCCAGAGAGAGAAAATAGGTACCCAAGCAATCAATTTTATTAATAAATAAAGTTTATCATGTTATTGGGGATTGAATTCAGGGCCTCATGTACTCTATTACTGAGCCATGCCTTTAGCCCTCATGATAAAGAGTTTTTTGAAGGGGCTGCATCTTGTCTAACACATGTTCTTCTAAGTGACCATCTGTAATAATAATTGTTCTGTCAAGATCAAGCCAGTTAAAACACCAGCACGGAGGGGGAGGGGTTCCAGAAGGCCTACTACTGGCCGAGGAGCTAGTGAGAGTTGGTGGCAAGGCAGAGAGGGAGAGTAGCCTTTCTCTGGGTGTGTGGCCATTGGTGGGTTGCTCACGCCCCAGCAGATGGGCCCTATATCCATGTACAGACAGGCAGCACAAATTGGACTGAGTGCTCTATTAATAAAAAAGAAAGATGGGTTCTCTGTTCTTATGCCAATACCAAGCTGTTTTCAATACTGTTGCTCTGTAATAGAGTTTGAAGTCAGGGATGGTAATGCCTCCAGAAGTTCCTTTATTGTATAAGATTGTTTTGGCTATCCTGAGTTTTTTGTTTTGCCATATAAACTTGACTATTGTTCTCTCAAGGTCTGTGAAGAAATTTGATGGGATTTTGATGGGGATTGCATTGAATCTATAGATTGCTTTTGGTAGAATTGCCATTTTTACTATGTTGATTCTCCCAATCCAAGAGCAGGGGAGGTCTTTCCATTTTCTGGTAACCTCCTCAATTTCTTTCTTCAAAGACTTAAAGTTCTCGTCAAATAGGTCTTTCACTTCCTTGGTTAGAGTTACCCGAAGATATTTTATGCTATTTGTGGCTATCGTGAAAGGTGATGTTTCTCTGATTTCCCTCTCTACTTCTTTATCCTTTGTGTATAGGAGGGCAACCGATTTTTTGGAGTTGATCTTGTATCCTGACACATTACTAAAGGTGTTTATCAGCTGTAGGAGTTCTTTGGTAGAGTTTTTGGGGTCGCTTATGTACACTATCATATCGTCTGCAAATAACGAAAGTTTAACTTCATCCTTTCCAATTCGGATCCCCTTGATCCCCTTATGTTGTCTTATTGCTATTGCTAGAACTTCAAGCACTATATTGAAGAGGTATGGAGAGAGTGGACAGCCTTGTCGTGTTCCTGATTTTAGTGGAATGGCTTTGAGTTTCTCTCCATTCAATTTGATGTTAGCTGTCGGCTTGCTATATATTGCTTTTATTATATTTAGGTATGATCCTCGTATCCCCAATCTCTCCAACACCTGAAGAAAATCATATGGTTATCCTTCTGGATATTGGAAGTAGACAAGATTGTCAGGCAAACTTGGGTGCACGGGGTGTGGGGGGTGGAAGTAAGGGGAGATGGTTAGAGAGAAGGGAGAGGGGGAGGATTGGGGATGGCTTGGGTGAATGGGATGGGGGGAGGGAGCAAGGATGGATATGGAAGCAGGGAAGTATATATATCAACTAAGGGAGTCATTTTAGGGTTTGCAAGAGACTTGATTCTAGAGGGGCTCCCAGGCCCAAGGAGAGGTCCCTAGATTGTTCCCTGGGCAGCAGAGAAGAAGGTGCCTGAACTGGCCTTGGCCCATAACCACACTGATGAATATTTTGCATATCACCATAGAACCTTCATCTGGCGATGGATGGAGATAGAGACAGAGACACATATTGGAACACTGGACTTAACTCCCTAGGTCCAAATGAGAAGCAGAAGGAGGGAGAATATGAGCAAGAAAGGCAGGACCAGAGGGAACCTTCATCTGACGATAGATGGAGATAGAGACGGAGACCCACATTGGAGCACTGGACTGAGTCCCCAAGGTCCAAATGAGGAGCAGAAGGAGGGAGACCATGAAAAAGGAAATCAGGACCGCGAGGGGTGCGTTCACCCGCTGATACAAGGGGACTGATCGAATGAGAGCTCACCAAGGCCAGCTGGACTGGGACTGAATGAGCATGTGATCAAACCGGAGTCTCTGAATGTGGCTGACATGGGGGCTGACTGAGAAGCCATTGACAATGGCACTGGGTCTTGTTTTGTCTGCATGTACTGGCTTTTTGGGATCCTAGTCTGGTTGGATGCTCACCTTCCTAGACCTGGAGGGAGAGGGGAGGAACTTGAACTTCCCACAAGGCAGGAAACCCTGACTGCTCTTAGGACTGGAGAGGGAGGAGGAGAGGGAGTGGGGGGGAGGAGGAGAGGGAGTGGGGGGAATGGGAGGATATGGGGAGGAGGGGAGGAAGTGGAAATTTTTATAAACAAATAAATAAATTTGGAAAAAAATAAAATTAAAAAAAAGAAAGATGGGACTGGAGAAATGGCTCAGTGGTTAAGAACACTTGTTGCCCTTGCAGAGGACCTGGTTTGAGTCCTAAGATCTACAACCACCTATAACTCCAGTTCCAGGGTGTATGAACCCCTCTTCTGACTTATGAAGGTACCAGGCACTCATTGGCATACATACCTACATGCAGACAAACTATTCATGTATATAAAATAAAATCAATAGTAACTTTTAAAAAGGAAGAAAAGCCTTGAAAACTGAGAGGGAGATACTGCGGTGGGCCTAAGGGAAGTTGGAGGTTGGAGTTGGGGGCAGGTGTAATCATTCATGTATACATCAATGAAATTTTCAAAGAATAAATAAAAACATTAAAAAGAGTGCTATGATGAGGCTTTCTTTTCTAGTTTCCCCAGGTATTCATGCATGCTTTCCCAAGAAAAGAAGGCTAGAAGGGAGACAGTAACAAGATTCACCAACTGGGTGCATCAGCTCAACGGTGCAGAGTGACGTAAGAACGGTTTGTTGCTTGGTCAGCCTGGGGTGGGGAGAGGGCTCCTGCTTTGCAGTGTCCAGGCCATGAATTAAAGCAACGCATTTCCTAATTCCTGTGTCTAAGTTAGTAGACCTGGGTTAGTAGAGGCTCTCAGGCCTTCGGACCTGTAGCTCAGGAGAAGCTAGCTCAGCTTACTCCTGCCGCTCACCTGTCTGTGCTGCTCAGGGAGATTGTATGCACCTTCACGTCTCTCTCCTTGTGGAGCCTCTGGACAGCGTTGAGAATAAGGCTGCAGCTTGTGTCTGGCTCCCCGTCCGTTAGGAGATACAGGCCTTGCGTGCCCTGAAAGCTAAAAGCTTTCTAAGAGAGTACAGGGAAGCAAAGTCAGGCGTGGGGAGGGAGGTTCTCTAGGAAGGACAGAAACAGCTCAAGGGAGGAGACTCTGTCCCCAGGGTAAATGTGTCTGACAGGATTCTAAAACTGCCTATTAAGATTGAGATTCTGGGCCCCCAAGACAGTTCGATGTGTTAATTGCTTTCTGGACAAGTCTGGCAACCTGAATTTGGTTCCTGCAGCCCAAATGAAGTTGAAAGGAGAGAACTAACTCTGTGAAGTTCCACACATATGCCAGACCATGTATGTCCCACACAAATCATACCACACACACACACACACACACACACACACACACACACACACTGAAAATAAATTTTAAAAAAGATTGGGGCCCGGTGGTGGTGGCACATACCTTTAATCCTAGCACTAGGGAGGCAGAGGCAGGTGATTCTCTATGAGTTTGAGGCTGGCCTGGTCTACAGAGAGAGTTCCAGGACAGCCAGGTCTACACAGAGAAACCCTGTCTTGAAAAAAAAAAGATTGAAATTCCACTTTCAGCCTAAGATAGAGAGCAAAGGAGCTGCTGAGGGCCAGGAGTGGGAGCATGGACCGCTTCCTATTTTATTAATCCCAGACAAGCCACCCAACTGCCCTAAGCCTCTGGGTCTTCTTCTGAAAGCGAGAGCCTTGTATCTCCTGGCTGTTAGGAGGATGAAACGAAGCTACACGCTGCAAATCCCAAAGCTCCGTGGGCTACCAGTGTGGGGTGCACTGTTTCTGCAATGCTACAGGATGGGGGGGGTCAGAGGCAGCACTTGCCATTAAAGCTGATAAGAACGAGGTGTTCCCCTGGGCTTGCAAGTGGGTCACCCAATGCATAGCCTCGTGACACGCTGCATCTGTGGTCTCCACCAGAGTGTTCTGCCATGGCTTCAGGTCCTTTGCGAAGCTCAGCAGGTTAAAGCTGGGGAGGAAAAAAGAGCAGGGGCAGAGAGAGAGAGAGAGAGAGAGAGAGAGAGAAACGACTGGTGAAAACAGGCCAGTTTGTGCTGATGTTGTAGAAGTCATCTCTGTGAGGATTGTTCGCTTGGGGACTCTACAGTGAGTCCAGACACCGAGAGGGGCGAAGGTACCCCCTGAAGATGCTAGATGCATATGTAAGCAGTTTAAAACGCTGAAGAAGTACAAAATACAGTGTTCTTTCTTTCCTTCTTAACAGATGATTCAAGAGGACAAGGATGCTCAGCCTGGGACACCAGGGGCCTGCAGTTGATCTTCCTGATCCTACCTGCCCTAGCCCAGGCATCTACCTGTCACAGTGCTTCCTCAGCTGCTCCCAAATCAGCAGGACCATCTCTGTCTTCATCCACTGCAAGTAGGGGCTCATGGATCCTGACGTGTCCAGTACAATGCACACATTGCTTTCCAAGATGGTGCCAAACAGCCTGCGGCTCCCTGCTCCATGGTGGGTGGTAGAGGCAGGGAAGGGGTAAGATGTTAGTTTTCCTCATGGTATCCACAAAATACAGAGTCGTGAAGCACCTACTGCCTCCCTGATAATTGGTCACAAGCTTTCCCCTGGGAAATGGCCCTGTGGCAGTGCTGGGGGAGCCAGCTGTCCAAGGGCAGAGATAGTCAGCTATACAAGGTTTGGGAGATCAAGATTTCAGCTCTGGGGGACCGAGAGAAAGCTAGGGTGAGGGACTACAGGGAGACACCCATGGAGGATGGGCGAGACATACTTTCAAGGCCTGGAGACTCAGTTCAAGGGGAGCTCTAGAGGGCTAGCAACTTGTCCAGGACCCACAGTGTAGAGCCTACGTTCTGTCTTGGTCCCCTAATCCACACTTCGGTCAGGAATCCCCTAACTTTGGTCTTTGATTGTACAAGGCTGAAGAGAGATTGCAGCGAGGAAGCTCAGCAAATATTTGATGTGACCAGTGTCATGAACCCTGGTGCTCACTGGGACAGCAGAAGAAAACTAACAAACGGCTAGACTATCAGCTAGTCACTCTCCATGATAAGTGGACCAAGTCTGTTAGACCTTGTTGCCCAGGGTCTTCCAGGATTCACTTGGCTGTCACAGGAAGAATAAGAGGAAAGTTGGTCTGAAGCTGACAGTGTGCTCTATGGGACTAGTCAGCCCTCCAAGGATCTCAACCACAAACACCCCATTTAGAACCCGATGGTAGGAATGTAGTGTAAGACACCATGCCCTGCCCATTGTCACTTACAAAATCTCTCATGCTCTGTCCATGCCATCGTTTGTGACTCTTTGGTTAATATTTCTCTCCTGGACCACAAGCTCCATGAGCTCAGGGACCCTATTGGGACTTGCCTTCTACCCTCTCCCACACACCTGGCAGGAGTCCAACACTTCTTCATTGAATGAGTGAGTGAACATATGAATGAAGTATCCCCCAGGCGAATTTGTATGTGGGAGTCCTGGGGACCGAACGTGTGCTTTGTACATGCTAGCCGAGCACTCTGCCACTAAGCTATATCCTTGGCTCTCAGTTTGAAGTACAGGGGTTTGGATGTGGACCTGTGTGTGAGGTGAAGGCGTTCCATCATCAGCTTTTAAAAGTGGCTGGTGTGAGTTGAGAACAGGTAACTCTACTTCCCCTTTGAGCTGCCCTAACCCATGACCTGTCAATCACTTCTGGAGCTTGGAAGAGAGGCTTTGGAAAGCGGCTGTCATGACCACACTCTATGACACAGACTATTTAGAGCAGGCTTTCCTGCGGGAGACTCAACCTAATGAACTCCACAGGACACTACATGACAAAAAAGGCTGCCTGAGGGCCCATAAGGCTCTCTCCTCCTGTTACTTGAAGCTCTCCAGATCCCAAAGCTAAATTGTTTCCTATCTATTTCATTTTCTTTCTACTTCAAAATGCCTGACCTCTTGGCCTTGATGCTCAACCAAGGCTTGCCCTGGACTCCTGGTCTTCTGGCCTCTACCTCACAAGTACTGGGGTTACAGGTAAGGACCACCACACCTGTAATTATAGTAAGCCCTCTTCTGGAATATGAGCCTGGTCCTCCTCATCCTGTCCTATTCATGCATCTTTCTTGGAGGCACCTTGGTACCCCAGGGAAGAAAGATGTGGGATTCCCCTCTATATGCTGTGAATTCCATTGGTTAATAAAGAAGTTGTTTTGGTCCTGTGATAGGGTAGAATTGAGCTAGGCGGGGGAAACTAAAAAGATGCCAGGCAGCCATCAGGAACAGATGAGCCAGAACCTTGCTGGTAAGCCACAGCCACGTGGCAATACACAGATTAACAGAAATGGGTTAAATTAAGATGTAAGAGCTAGCCAATAAGAAGTTAGAGCTAATAGGTCAAGCAGTAATTTAATTAATATAGTTTCTATGTGGTTATTTTGAGTCTGGGCAGCTGGGAACAAACAAGTGGCCTCCTACAATAGAAAGAGTACAGAAGATATCTTCTGGGTTGGAACCTCTTCCATGTCTACCTTCACAAATGTATTCAAGTAGGTCCCATTAATACACATGCCTTGCTTCTCTCATAACGTCATTTCCTACCACCCAACAGCTGTGGTCAGAACTGGGACATCCTCAGTCATGTACAGAGAGGCAAAGGAAGCAGCCAGCTTTGTAGGACAGGCAGAAACTCCCTCTGGTTCCCGTCCCACACTTCTGTCACCTAGCACTTTGCCTGATCCCTGGACCCAGAGTTTGCTTATTCAGTACAAGACTTGGCTTGGATAAACCCACTGGCCTGACAGTTCTTGAGGAGTTGGCCTTGAAGTACTGACCTTGAATTTCTGGGATTAGCCTTCCCACTTCCTCTCAGGCTCCTCCTTACCAGACAGCAGCCATTGCAGCCTCTGCACGTAGCCCTTCATCACCTTCTCCATGGATGTGATATACATCTCCATTTCCCACAGTGTCCACTGGATGTGTCTCACTACTCCCTGGGGAAGGCACGCAGAGGCCAATACACCCCATCAGTGTTGGTTCATAGCCTCAGTACCCTCAAAAGATTTCATACCATTGCAATAAACAACTCTCCACATATCTTTATATACATGTTTGTATGCTTGATCTTGAAGCAGGGTCTCACCATGTGGCCCACGCGAGCCTTGAATTTATCATCTTTTTTTTTGCTCCCGAGTCCTGGCATTGCGGACATAGAGCACCATGTTTGGGTCAGTTTTATTTATTGAAAAGTTATTTTTATTCAGATGTACTGCCAGCTTTCATGATTCTGTGAAGGAGTGGGAACTAGGGTAATGGTGCCATGTCAAACAAAATCACTGGAACAGTGAAAGTCACATCATCTCCAAGTTTTAAAACAGAAAATCCTTAATCGAGGGCTAGAAGGGCCATACATTTCAAATGGAAGTCTAACCTCAGGCAGAGAGGGTCAGTGTGTGAAAAGGACCCCACATTAAGTAGATAATTTTTAGGCTATTTTTAGTTTCCTCTGATGTTGATAACATGGTATCAAAGGGCAAAGAGGAAAAGAAGCCAATTTTTACGTTGTACTGAATGCACTTATTGCAACCCCAGAATAATGAGAAAAACACCTCCCAAATAGAAAGCAGAGAAGGAACCTGCTCCCTCCTGCCATCCCTACCAGAGCCATGGCCAGTGTTAGGGTCCTGTGATGATTTGAGTGAGAACAGCCCCCAGGGGATCATATGTTTGAATACTGGGTCCCCAGTTGGGAGAACTGTTTGGGAAGGATCAGGAGGTGTGACCTTGTTGGAGAAGTTGCATCCTTGGGGTGGGCTCTGAGGTTTCAAAAGCCCATGCCATTCCCAGTCAGCCTTTCTGTAAACTCTAAGCTACTGCCATGCCTGCCTGCATGTCATCATGCTTCCCACCACAAGAGTCACGGACTCTAACCTTCTCAAATGATAAGTCCCAAATAGACTCTTTTCTCTACAAGTTGCCTTGGTCATGGATTTTTTTTTTTAAATCACAGTGACAGAAAAATAAGACAGGTACCAAGTGCTTTGGAGTGGCTACATCAGTCACTGCTGTGCGCTTAGCATCTGCTTCTAGGTCTTACTATCTACTCCAGAATGTGATCTCAGACCGGGGGGGGGGGGGGGCTTCGCTTATTTTTTTTTCTACCAGAACTCTATATCTGCCATCAGCCGAGCAAAGCCCTACTTTAGGGAGTGAGACTATAGAAGCAGGAATAGATGTCAGTGCCCCCTGACCTTCTCGCTGCCACTAGCAACTGACAAGGAACTGAAAGGAACTGGAAGGTGAGGAACACCACATGTGACTTACGTTGATCTCCACACTGGGGATGGCACAGCAGTGTTTGGCTGATGCTGCCCTGTGTGCTGACTTCTGAAGTCTACAGCTGGGGCCGAGGCTTTTGGAGAGTTTCAGCTTCAGTTTCTTCAGCCCACAGGTGGCTATCCACTTTAGAACAAACAGGTAACGTGGGTAAGTCAGGCCTATGGGAGCAGCTGACTCACGCGTCAAAAGCTCTTGTCTGAAATATGCTCCTGGTCCTCCTGGAGCATCTATTGCTTGCAGATTCTCCTCCCAGCTCTGGGAGAGAGATACACAAGAATGGCCGACAGAAAACCCAGTGCATTGAACATATACTTGGCCTTGTTGATTCTGGAAGATATTGTTGATTGTTTAGCACCCAGTATAATCTACTCTAATGATCAGAGTTAAATGGTCTAAAGTCCAGACTCTAAAGCCAATCAGGATAACCTCAGCCTCTTCATCCAATGGAGAGATGCCAGGATGTAGGCGCCAATCCATTTGAGCCTGACCTCCGGGGTCAGCCCCAGCAGAACCAAGGCCAGACCATTGGCCTCATTGAATGGTTGTGTGGAGAGTGATGGTTTGAACCAGAGGGGGATTTCTGTTGCTTATATTCCGAAGGAACTGACATCAATAAGGACTATGACAAAATACACTTTAATCATTCCTCATACCAACCTTATGAGATAGGCACATCTTCATTTTATTTATTTTTGGGTTTTTCTTTTTTCTTTTTTTGAGATAGGGGTCTCTTTATTAGTCCCGGTTGTCATGTGACTTGCTATGTAGATCAGGCTGGCCTTGAACTCATAGAGATGCACCTGTCTTTGCCTCGTAAGTGTTGGGATTAAAAGTGTACCCCACTAGAACCAGCTTATTTTCATTTACACAGTGAGACTGAGCGCAGTTATGTGACATCCCAAGGCTACCCAGCTAGGAAGTAGGAGACTCTGATCTTACGGCCATTACTGTGTGTGTCACAGTGAGCAATCATTCTTAAGAGGTTTGCCCTCTTAAGATACCAAGCATGCCCACCCTCCTAAATGCCATGGTTGGCAGAAGCAATTACTAAGGGGCGTGTGCTGATGTAATACCTCTTGTATACAACTGAATACCTCTTGACTTGAGCAAACGGTATCCTTCCTGGGCAGCTCAATAGAAGAGTTGGTCCTCCTAACCGACTTCCCTTGAGGGTACCTCTTGTACACAGAGCCTAGGAGAAACACAGCAGTATTACCATGGATCTGCCTCTTCCTTCCTCCCTTTCTCATGTCA